TGAGGGGGTCCAAGAAGGGTGCCAGGCACCTCGCAGGGTGGCCCCACTGTTTTAAAGGAACAGGATTGAGCCTTAATGATGCTGATTGCTCGTTTGTGCTAGGTTTGTTCAGGGCTCAAAGGGAAAGGGGTGGTGTGGGCAAGGCGAGCCCCCGCAGCAGCAAGGCAGGCTCCTTCCCCTGCCTCCTGTGTAGCACAGAAACTTCTTGCAAGTTAAAAGTTTATTTCCTAAGACAGGCGGTTTGGACACAACACAGTCATTAAAAGAGACACTGGGGTTTAGAGTTTGGTCTGGAAAGAGAATATAATAAGATTTTTGCTGAGACTTTTGTTAGCTCTGTTCTCAAAGGAAATATTCTTCATTTTTCCTATGAGATTTTTTAGCTCCAACTCCACTCAACTTAATATCTGAATGCTCAAAAAAAGCCATCGAAGCTCCAGTGATTTTTGTTTTTCCCTTTCAGTTTTCATTTGCAAAAGAAAAGCCAGATATTTCTGCTCTGACTGCCCCACACTATTGCTCTCAGCCCTGTTTTTCAGCATCCCCCTGGAACAGTGGGAGCCTTGGGGTGCTTGGCGTTGCTGCCTGGCACTCAGAACCAGCATCTGCAGCTGCTCTCAGCTCTCAGCAGACCTTTGGGCCCCCACATCTCACACTACCATGCTGGGATCCAGCTTTGCTGTTTAAATCCATTAAATCAGTGCAAAACTTGCATTTCTACAGAGCTCCAGCACCCACAGCACACTGGATCCTGCGCTCGATAGGTGTCCCATATAAAAACAGTAACACCCATCTGGCCCTCAGGTGCTGGGTACACTCAGCACCATCAGCTCACCCAGCTACCTGGGCCTCCTGGCTATATTTCAGCTGCTGCCCTGTCCCTGCTGTGCTGGCTTGCTCCAGCCCCATTCCCCCAACAGGCCTCAGCCCCTCAGCATCAGCACAAAGGGCAATTTTGGGCTGCAACCCTGGAAAGCTCTTTTTTCATGGGTAACCCAGTGTTGTGGCACAACAAAGCTCTTCTTCCCTGTCTTATTTTTCTTTTGCTTTGTCTATTTTTTGTTTTCCCTTGGCCACTTTTTCTTTTCTCTTGCCCACTTTTTCTTTTCCTTGTCCGCTTTTTCTTTTCCCTTTCCTCCTCCTCTCTTCTCACTGCCGCTTTAAGCGCGGCTGAATATCAATTTGGAGTGGAAAGTTCCTGTAAATAACAGCTACACCTCGGGGTGTTTCCTCTCCCAGTAGCTGTGAAGAGAGGGTGGGTATGTCTAGGCTCTGACTTGAAACACATTTCCGCTGGCCAGGGCTGGGGAGCCGCGTTCTCAGCCATATTAGCATTTATTGTGGTTTTCTTTGGGTTTTTCCTTTTTTTTTCAATTTTTTTTCCCCTTTTTGTGCAGATGCTGCTGCAAAGCAGGGGCAGAGGGTCTGTTCTGAGCCTGGCACTCTGATGCTGATGCCAGTGCCTTGGCTAGGCTCGTGAACAACGCTTGCGTGGAGCGGTTTGGCTCCTGGGGAGCCCCCAGCCTACAGCACATTGGCATCAGCCGCTATTGTAGCCTGGGAATTTTGTTTTATTCTTTCTGCTTTTCAGCTGTCATTTGGGTCTGGAGGCGAGTGGTGAGTGCTAAGGGGTTTGGGCTCGGACCGCCTGGGAATTTGGGTCCTGTGGGAGATTTGTGCTGGAGTTTCTGTGTCTCAGGAAGCAGCGTGGCGATGACAGGCGGCGGTCACCGTGTGGGGTGCTCAGCTTGGGCTGCAGGGATCACCTGCCAGGGCTAGCCTGGTGTGGAGTACGTGCTCCAGACCCACCTTGGAGAAATGTAAAGAGGTTTTCTCAGGGCTCACAGCCCGGGGTCCCCCCACCTCCATCGTCTCCCTGCATCCCTGTGAAGGCACCTCCTTGCCCTCCTCCCCAGACACCCTCCAACGCCTGCCTGGGGCAAACTGTGGTTGAGAGCAGCCACAAGCTGCCCCCACCCCAGATACCAGATCCAGGCACTGGGATGCTCAGAGAGCTGCCAGCATTAGGCCATGGAGCAAGAGCAGCGTGAGGAAGCTTCCTCTGTGCCAGGGCACGGACCTGCTGCCCGCGGTGAGAAGTGAGCAGGCAGAGGGCACCAGGGGGACTTGTAACTGTACGTTTATTATTCCACATGGAAAGTCATTAAAAGGATTACACGGAGGCCTGACGATACAGTCACGTACATTGGATAAGAACATCGACACCGACACGAGAAGCAGAAGTCACCATTTTGCCATGGCTTCGGACCCACAAGCTTCCCCCCCGCTCCCCGAGGAGCCCGGCTCTGCTCTCGCTGAGCCTCCTCCACACAGAGCTTCTCCCAATGACTTCAACAGGAGCAGACCCTCCTCTTCCTCTCCCGCCCTCCCCGCCTCCCCCCCTCCCCAGTGACAAGTGCTACAGGTTAAAAAGATGGGCTACATATTAAATATAGGGCATTACCTTCAAGTAGGGCTGGTATATTACACAAATAACCACATTATTTGGTATCACTAGCTTCTTTTTTTTTTTTTTAATGTCCATTTTAAGACACCATTAAAAAAAATCCCAACAACTTTAGCCTTCTTTATCTAGAAAGATCTCTGTGCTCATCTCCTTAGTTGGTGGTTGTTATTTTACCCTGCACATACAAGTATTAGAAGCATTATTAAGAATCGGATCCTTCAACACATTTAAGAATTATATTATTATAACAAATAAGACCAAAAATTAGATTTTATAGTTAAATATTCTGTGAGCCAGACAAAAGGGGGGTTTTACTGTACAAGCGATTGTGCATTTTTTTTCCTTTTAAAAAAAGCAAATTATAGTGCAAAGCAAAAAAAAACATCGGCCTCTCTCGCGGCCGTTTGCATACAATAGAGGTGCAAATATTTACACCTGCACATGACAATATGTCATAAAAACAGCATCATTGCCGTTCTTTTTTTATTACTTAAGTTTTAAAAAACCTCTACGAACAGTCTTAAATTAACCTAGTACTACGAATGCCTTGTTTTCCTTGTGCTTTCCATCAGTGGCGTGATAAATGCATCAAAACACAGGCTGCCGTGGTCCAGTTTCTACAGCTGGCCAGCACCCGAGAGGTGCTCGCTGTCGCTAAGGCAAGTGAAGGTTGCAGTTTTGCTGGGGTAGGGCTTTTTAATTATTATTATTAATTATTATTAGTTAAAAGAGTTGTTCTTCTTGTTGCTTATGTAACTCGTGAGTGGTCATCGCAGCTTTCCAAGGAAGCCAGGATGTCTTGCTCCAGTCTTGACGTGGTAGTGCAATTACAACGCTCTGTGCCTCAACCGAGTGCTGTGAAGCTGCCAACTGAGATTTGGTGATAGGTGGTGTGGCTTAGGATGGTGTAACCCACACTGGGGGTGGGGGGAGCTGGGAGGGGAGCTGTGGGCTTTCAATTTTCCTGTGCTTGTGCAGAAAAAAAAAGAAAAACAAGTCTTGGTTACTGGTGGCACTGGGGGCTGGGGACTGTCCCTGTGCCCCATAGGCTCCGGAGGGACGTGGGCACCGCAGTTACCTGCTCCCCAAGAACCTGCCCATGCACCCTCAGCCCTGCCAGCATGAGGAACCCCAAATCCAGCCCAAATTCCCACACCAGCTTGCAGGAGGCAATGTAACCCTGCAGTGTGTGTCAGAGCCTGCCCTTGGAGGAGCCTCGTCTGCCTCTCCGGCTGCCTACGACCTCCCACCATGGTCCCATCCAGCTGCAATCTCCCTGGTATCAGCTATGAGGGTGTGTGGTGCTCAGGAGACCTGGTTCTACTGAATGCTGCGAGATGCAACCAGCTACCAACGAGCTGGTGGCACCTTTGGTGCCCCTTCGTCAGCTTATTTCATCTACAGCAAGACACCCCTGCTCCGGGTCACCTGGGGGAAAGGAAACGAAGATGAGGGGATGGCAAACAGCTAACATTGCTTCACAATACTCCCACCACCAAGGGACTGAGTAGAAATTGCTCCTTTCTCCAAATCTCAGTTAGAGCTTTCGTTATGAACTGATGAGTTTAAGCTGTTGCTTAACAAAATAAAAGTCATCGCGTGTCAGTCCCCTCTGGGTGAAAACACGGGAAAGGATCATAACAGAAATATGATGCTTTGCCACCAGCTGCGTGTGTCGCCACTCAGAGAGGATGAAAGGAAGACCCAGAGAACGGTGGCAGGGTCGTGTCAAAGGCTCCTGAGTCCCTTTTGCAGCTAACGTGCTTGGAAGTGCATCTCATGCATCTTGGATTGTCCTGAACGCCGCCTTCACTTCAGCCACCATCGCTGAGATTTGCTAAGAGGAGCAAAGAATTGACTGGTGAGGTCAGGACAAAAGAGCAAACAGAATAAAACAAAACACGGCTCGTAAAAAGTACATCTCATATGTAAACATACAGGAAAAGGGGGAGGGAGGGGGGGCCTGTCAGGCACGGGATCAGCCACGTTACTGTTTTAAAAACGACGACAATGACAAAAATGAACAATACACCCTCTGTCGTCAGCAACGAATAATAATCATCACATCACAGCTCTCCTTCGCGTGGCTGACGCCGGCCGGGCCGCGGGGAGCCAAAAAAAAACGCGGCAATGCCCTTCATCTCTTTCATGAGGAGATCTATTTTTAGGGAAGAAAGCCCATTAAGTGTCGCCTTCCCTAATTCAGCGCTTCACTTGGTAAGATTTGACAGGTAGATCTTTCTTATTTTTTTTTTTTTTATTTTTTCCTTTTTTTTTTTTTTTTTTTTTTTTTTCAGTCTTCTTGCCTCGGTAGAGGTGGCTTGAAGGACTCCCTGCTCTTCTCAGAAACATTTTACAGAAGAAGGGTGAGCTTTCTGTAGCTTCTCAATGCTTTGTGTGGGGAAGAGGTGCGAGCGAGATGACTGAGAAGTGTTCTGCAAGAAACAAACATCTGATTCCACACATCCTTTTCTTTTTTTTTTTTCCCCTATGTACAGTCCACATACTTAAAACATTCGGCAGGGATCACATCAAGCGACAAATTCAAGCCTCGTGGACGCTCCTCTTGAAATGTGACGTAGGTCCCAGTCCATCTTCGCTTGATGTTTGCCCATGCTTGTATGCAGAGGATCCTGGTTTGCTTTTGGGTTGGGAGACTTTGGTTTACCTTTTCCCCAGGCATCATTTTGCTCTATTCACCACCAAAAGAAGTGACGTGACGGTGGCCGATTAAGTTAAAGCTATCCTTGCCCTGTTGGGTTCCTCCTAGTAGGGTCTCCAGACCGACTCATCCATCCTCCCAGTAGTCGTCATGGTTGTTGGTGAGTTACTGTGGCTGCCGTCCGCATCCACCCCGTCGCTCTGGCTGCCCAGGTTGGGGTTCATTAAGTTGTTCCCTGCCGAGGCACTTGTACAAGAAGAGAGCATCCGTGTCGGGGAGCGCTCGCCACCCGCCACCATGGAGAACTGGTAGGAGCCCGAGGACGTGCCGTAGTACAAATGGTAGGGAGAGGGGTTGGCCTGGAAGGGTCCACTTTGGTTTTGCGTGGAGCCGGGGTAGGGGGGAGGCAGGTAGGTGTGGTGGAAGCGCGTGGTGGTGGGCATGCTGGTCATGCTGATGCCCCCGATGCCCGTGGCGGAGGGCGTGGCGGTGTAAGGGAAGGCGGCGGGCATGGCACCGGGGTAATGCATCCGGGGGTCGGAGAACCTGGTCTCGGTGAGCGCCGGCAGCGTCGGGAAGGAGCGATCGAACTGACGGGGGTCAGAGAAGGGGCTGAGATCTGACGTGCCTGGTGGGGTGGAGGAAGAAAGACAGTTGTTAAAGCACGGTCCTTGAGCTTGTGGAGTTTGCCCCAGATGCCCTAGTCTGCCCTAGATGCCCTAGTTTGCCCTAATTTACCCTAATTTTCCTGGGCCATCCTCTGCCCGAGGAATTAGAGTTGGAGGGGGAAGCATCTCTTGGCTCTGCCCGCCAAGAGAGCAGGGGAACTTAAACAGAAAACCCCTAAACCCGTTTGTTTAAGTTGTTCCCATTTCCTGTCCTAAAATTTGTTGTTTCCTATCCAAGAAGTGACACGACCACGCTGACTTCTCTAGGGGTCTATTCATCTCTGGTAGATTAAGAAAACACACCCCATAAACACAGAAAAAAAAATGTTTAGCCATGACATCAGCTGTGTAGTAAATAAATGGATGCGGGCCCCAGACGGCCGGTCCCTGAGATAGCTGGTGGTGTATATACACACACACGGAGACGGGGAGGAAAAGCTGGAGCCCAGACCAGCCTGTTAAGCCTTCTTGTGGGTGGCCTGTTTGTGCTGATACCATCAGGGGATGGAGCTGATAAACACACAGCTGAAAACTCCCAAGCTAGGAGCCACAATATCCCTCTGCTCGGTTTCGCTGTGTATTTTTCTCTTTCCAAGAGGATAAAGAGAGTGAGAAATTCAGGCTTTCTTCTGCTGGGGGAAGGGAGACTTGGGTCAGCATGGTGGGGACGTTACCCGGCTCTCTCAGACGTGGGAGCCCCCCGTGTATTTTTTTGGGGAGGCTCTAAACACAAAGGGGGATTGCAGCCAGCGACCCTGGAGGTGGCTCTTCATCCTTTCAGCTGACTCCCAAGACCTATTTTTCCCTGGTTAATAGCAGTAGTGGGACATCATTTGGCCTCAGTGACTTTGTTGGTCACATCGGCTGGATTTTGGATCAACTCAGGGCAAGAAAATGTGTGAGATGGGTACGATAAACAACTTGGGTTTAGATATGCATATATATGTATATATAAAAATATGTATATACAGACACACACCTTCTATGATTGTCTATTTGCTATGCATGCTCAGGGATGTGTGCTTTATATATATATTTATTATGATGAGGCATTTTTAACTTCTCAGGGCTAGTGTTCCAGGCTCTACAGCATTTCCCCAGGGAAAAATGCTTGAGCTAATCCCTTCCAGCTAACTAGTGGCAAGGGCATGCTCTGGAGGAGCAGATTAGGAGGGGATTTGAGCTGAACCCTCTTTCTCATCCCAAGTGAGTCCTTCAGCCATCGACTGCTGGAAGGAGAAGGGGTGGGGAGGTTCCTCCCTCCCCTCCAGCCCTTTTGCGGGCGCTCGGCAGCGGCTGCCTTCCCACGCAGGCTCCACGGAGGAGAAAGGTGGAGGAGCACCTGGTTTGTGAACGTGGCTGCGGCTTTGGTGCGAGATAAGAGAGGAGCAGCTCAAAGCTGTCAGGAACCACCGCTCTGCACGCAGCGAGCGCGGCTCCCTGCCCGCCCGCGGGGACGTCCCTCTCGCCTGCGACGTGGAGCGGGCAGCGTGCTGGGGCTGGCTGGGGAAAGCACAACGCTGTGAAAAATGCTCACCGCTGACCAAGCCAACCTGACTTCAGAGCTCAGCCTGCCGGCAGGACGCCCTGCCCCATCCCAGAGCCAGGCTACTGCAACAGCAGCACCAAAACCGCTCTCCGGGGCTGGGAGCTGAGGTTTGGAGAGCAGCTCTGCAAAAAGCAGCTCGACCACAGGCTGTGGCTTTAGCAATCCGGCCGCATCGCAGCGTAAGGCAGGACCATGGGACAAAAATCCTGGCTGAACTTGGACTGAAAGAGAAAAAGTGCTATTTTCTGAATGCCTCCTCCTCACACACAGGCATCTCGGTCACTGCGGCCCAATTTTGGCATAAACTGAGAGAAAGTCATCTTGAAATCCCCTCAAGCCTCCAGAAAACCCAGACTGCTGCTCGCTACCTTCCCAAGAAGAGATGACAATCTCCAGCAATCAGACCACACTCCTTCGTTAGCTTTCACATGCCCATAAATAATATTCCATAAAATGCAAATCGAAAGAAACCTAAGTGCTCAGGGCACATTTCCCTTTTCCTCTATAACAATCTCAAAGGGTTTGGTTTTTTTTTTTTAGAAGCCACATTTTATTGGCTTGAACTTGCAACGTTTGGCAACGGGTCCTTGCTACTAATTTACACACGAGTGTGTAAGAGTGTTAATTACAGGCTGTGTGTGTGGCGAGCAGAGCACAGAGATACTGTCAGGACTGGAGACACGTTGGCTACTGCTGGTCAAACCCTGGCGGGCAAACGGTGAGCTCTCCAGGAGCCAGGTTTGGACCCACAGCCTCTGACAGAAGCACTCTGCAAGGCTGGGCCTCTGTAAATCTGAGTGTGTGGGGGTGCAAACACCTTAAAAATGAAATCCCTTGGAAAGCAAATCCCTCCACTGTGCCTGCCCCAGTCCCACAGAGCGAATGGTAAAGCCACGGTCACCAACTTGCTTTCATCTCCATCGGATTTTGGGCTTGAAGTCTGGCCCAGCATAAAGCTCCAGCTTCCCCTAACCAGTCTGAAGCTAAAAAAACTACCCCAAACAACACCAAAAACCGCTTGTGTATTTTGTCTCTGTGTTATCTGGGGGAGTGTTTCAGCCTTCCCAGTCTGTGGCAGCCAGACACCAGGCTGCTCCC